AGCTCATCAAGGCATGGCCGGCTGTAGAGTCGACCAGGCTGTCGATCTTTGGGAGAGGATAGCTATCCTTCGGACATGCCTTGTTCAAGTCTGTGTAGTCAACACACATGCGCCAGGTTCCATTCAGCTTCTTCACAAGCACAATATTGGCAACCCAATCAGGGAAATAGCATTGCCGAATGAACTTAGCATCTAACAATTTTTTTACCTCGGCGGCTGCCACCTGGCTTCTTTCCACACCATGGTTCCTCTTCTTTTGCCTTACTGGCTTCTTTTTAGGATCCACAACAAGCTTGTGGACGGCTAGATCCGGGCTGATGCCTGGCATCTTGTCCACCTCAAAGGCAAAGATGTCTTTGAATTCTCTTAAAAAGTTATGCAAGTCTACACCAAGTTTAGCAAAAGCAGTAGTCCCCACCTTGATAAATCGTTTAAGACGAGAGTCATCCAAAACAATGTTCATGTGCTCACCAGCCGGATGGGGACGGAGTTCATCCGGCCTTTCACCGGTCAATGATTTCTATTGCTTGTCTTTTCTCTCGGCCACCATCTAGTTGGCCTTTCTCTTTTTGCCGGATGCTATGGAAGCAGGCGCAACTTCCTTGACTTGGTCAAGGTCAGCAGTTTCTCCACTGGGGCCGGATGCGACCACAGTGGGTTTGACATCAGAGAGATAACACTCCCTGGCCATCTTTTGGTCTCCCCTAAGGGAGCCGACTGTTCCATCATCCTTCTCAAACTTAAGAAGCATAAGAGAAGGAATGATAACAACTTTGGATTCATTTAGGGTGGGACGCCCCAAAATCATGTTATAGGCCGTCAGCTCTTGTACAACCAAGAACCAGACCACCATGTGGCGTCCCTTCCCTTTTTCGCCCAGCCGGAAGGGTAGGTCTATTCGACCTACTGGACGTACCACACCACCCCCAAATCCTACTAAGGGATGAGAGACCTAGTGCATGCTCTCGAGCTTGTACCTAAGCTTGGCCAGACACTTGTGACTGATGAGATCAGACGAGCTCCAGTATCAATGAGGATTCGACCAACCCTTTGGTTGGCCACTTTTCATTCAATGACAATAGGGTCATCATGCGGCCTCCTGACTTCTCCCTTGTCACCCTCAGTAATTACAACTTCTGGGAAGGAGTCCTTAGACGCCTGCCCCTCGTCAACCGAGTTGACGTCAAGCCGTCTTATGTAGTCCTTGTTACCCCGGATGGTAGGGCCGCCTCCAGCAAAGCCGCCTGCTATTGTATAGATCGGAGTCTCTTCAGTGTCTGAACTATTAGCAGATGAGGCTTCTTCTTGGACGACTGTCTTGGGTTAGTCTGTAGGGTAACTTTGGACCTCAAAATATAAGATTTGAGAACTCCTTTATCAGCCAGACGATCCAACGGCCGCTTGAGACTAAAGAATTCGTTGGTGTCGTGGCCAACATCCTCATGGTAGTGGCAATATTTATTTTTGTTCCGATTTTTCGCGGAACCCTTCATAGCAGCCGGTTTTTCAATAGAGACCCGGTCCTTTATCTCCATGAGGATGGAGTAACAATCTTTGTTGAATTTGTACTTCGGGGAGTAAGTCTTTGTTTCTTTCTTCTTCTTCTAGGACAACTGTTCAGAAGTATCAGCCACCCAGAATTCTTTTCTTTTCTTTTCTTCTTTCTTAGCCGGCTGAAATGGCCGACTTTCTCTCTTGTCAAACCTCTTTGAATCTAACTGTTTACTGATGTTGCAGAGTTCGTTCGCCTGTATATAGGCGTCCGCCTCCATCAGTGCCTCTTGGAGGGTAGCAACCCTCTTTCTAACAAGATCGAACTTGAAGGCCGATCCGTCCTTCAGACCTTTGAAAAAGTCTATATAGGCCACCTCATCAGACAGTCCTTGAATCTGAATCTTCATTAGATTGAACCGCTTGATATATGAGTGTAGCCCTTCCTTCTCAACCTGCTGTATAGCTCCCAAGTCAAGACTTGTTTTCTTTGTAGGGATATTCATTGAGAAGTTCGACGCAAACAAGTATGCAAGCGTCTTGAAGTTATTGATGCATCCGACTGGCAAGTTGCCGAACCATTGCAGGGCGACGCCCTTCAATGTGGTCGGGAAGCATCTACACCATGCGGCATCATCCAACCCTTGAAGATACATAAGTTTGGTGTATGCCATCAGGTGGTCTTCTGGGTTGGTGGTACCGTCATAGGCACCTACCAACACATTTTTCACCTTGGCCGGCTAGGCAGCCTTTGTTATTTCCTTGTAAAAAGTAGAGGGTTGTTCCCCCAGCCTTAGCAGTCGGAGCTGCCAGTCCAAGGGCTGGACATTATGTGTCGCCTGCCCCCCAAAGAGGGTCGGCTGCATGTAATGTTGTCCATACTGCATGTATGGCTGTTGAGGCACATACGGAGCCGCATGGAGCATCTGAGGACTAGAGTGGGAGGACATGCCTCCTGTCTGGTTCTCTTGATTTGATTGTGAATACCTCATTGACGTATTCTGAAATGTGTCTTGCAAGTTCGACGTGGAAGCCGACTCTGACAGTTGCATGTTCTTTTTCTGTTGGATTAACATTCGGGCATATCAGAATAAGTTTTCTTTTAACCATCCGGCTGTACATGCTGGATGGCCTTCCTCTTCCTTGGCTCAGGGAACCGAAGGCTGGCCAAATTTATCAAGGGCTTCTGTCCCTCCCTTGGTTTAGGGTAAGGGGTGGCCTCTCGGTCTTTGACTGGCTTATTCCTCCCAGAATGGGAGGGCTTTTTGGCCGACTGTTCCTTGGTGGGGACAACCATCCGTTTATCGATCAGGTCCTTAATCTCCCCTTTGAAACTTGTCATAAGAATCATGAGCTCGTTTCTGGTGATGGGGACGGAGCCTTCGGCCGCCTGAGGTTGACAGGTCGACTGGTTCACTAGGGCCCGCCTGTTCGACAGTCTGTTCCCTCCTTTCGAGGGCACTGATGCGGCGAATTCTTAGGGACCCGTCAGGGGCCGTGTGTGTGTCGACCTTACAGTCGTCATCTGTATCCTGGTCTGTATAGACCTGGAGATCAGCCATAGGCCGTTTCTCACTAAGAGGCGGTACATGTTCTTGTGAAGTCATCTTAGAAGTACTCTCCCCATAGACTGCGCCAAATGTTTTGGGGTTTTTTGAGTGTCCTGCGAGAGAGTTACAACACCAAGACTGACCTTTGGACACCTGTACCTGCAAAACAACGGAGACTCGTGTGGGTGGGAGTTCCGCCTCCGACGATCAAGTTAGAACGTGTTCGGATGTAAAAAGTGCGGAAAGTAAAGGGGATCAGGCTCTTCTCGGAAGGGGAGTGATCATCCGGCTGCCTGAGACAGTCTCAATATCCGAGCCTTAGCTCTCAAGTAGCGCAATTAAAGCTGGAATTAATGCTCAGCAAGTAATGTACGCGCGTGTTTAATGAATTCTGAATAATGTTCCTTAGAGGGAACACCTCCCTTTTATAGGGTCTTTGAAATGCGGGCCTAGTACTAGGTTTTCAGAAACCTAGAACTGATTGGGCTTGCCTAGGTATTTGGGCCCTTAAAGGCCATTTTCCCAGTTGGCAATCTGCCTGCCACGTGTCGCGGCCTGATTGGTCCACGTGGATGACACGTGGCAGGGTTTCATTGGTCCATGTGGCGGGAGAAATTCCCTAATCAGCCCTGACTTTGCCTCCAACACTCCCAACCGGTCAACACCAAGTCAATGACTTGTTGTAACAGGTAACCAATACACGTGTCAGCACGTGATTGGTCTAAAATAAAAAAAAAAAGAAAAAATAAATAAAAAAAATCTGAAAACCCTAACAGCCACCACCCCCTCCCCTTACGCCATCGCAAACGCCAAGGCCAACCCCGCCCCAGCGGAAAACGGCTGGCCGTTTCCTTTAACCTTCGAAAACGACCGGTCGGCCCCTCCCAAGCCTAGAAAACCAACCTAGGCGGCCCACTCTCGCCGCCAAACTACCCACCCTCCCTCGAAACAACCTCCCTCACCGTTGAAAACGACCCTCCTCCCTTCCCCAACCCCTGAATTTGGCCCCCTGGGCAACTTTGAGGGTGTGGGAGGGTTGGAGGAGTGGCATTGAAGGATTTTTTTCTTTGTTTCGATTTTCCGGCGAATTGAAGGGGGAGGGAAGGGAAGGAAGTGGTTTAGGGGGTGGGTCGGCTGTGTGTGTGTTTGTGGGCCGACCATTTTCAGGGGGTTAGGGAGGTGGTCGGTGGTATCTGGTGGGTTGTGGGTTGATTTGACAATGGGCTGTGGGTTGAGTTCACAGTGGAGGGCTGCTGGATTGTTTTTGTTTTGTTTTTTTTTAATTAATTTTTTTTAATATTAGGCCAATTATGTGCTGACATGTGGCATTTTAAAAACAAACAAAAATTACCCTTTCAGCAGGTAACCGGTTTTTGGGACTGTTGGAGGCAAAGTCAGGGCATAGTTAGGATTATTAAAACACAAACCTTAGTTGGGATTATTAGAAGTAAATCGACAATTTTGGGATTATTAAAGTGTATTTTTCCTTATTATTATACCTAGAAGAGATAATTAAAATAAAAATTTGTTAAAATTTTGGCTAAGAAATAAGGAGAAAAATAAGAATAAAAAAAAACAGGAAGGGAATAGGCGGATTTATAATGTTCTTCTTAGTATAGTAAGTATATATATATGAAAAATTGCAATAAAAAAATTACCATTTAATAGGTTATTGGTTACTTGAGAGTTGAGACCATTAAAAGCATATTCACATTACAGTTGGGATTATCAAGATGAAGTGAATAAGGCCTTATTAGTTTCCAAAAACCTATTACGGAATAGAATTTATTGTACTTGAAATAAGCCAAATGATGAACTTAAATCTCAAATTAGTTTGGGCTTGAGTCACTCACTACTCACTTTGATCGTAGATCCATTAGTTTAGGCCAGTCCAGTGATTTTTCCTTGATCTAAAATTGTAAACGTTATCCTAAAATATTCCCCACCAATTAAAGCCAGGCTGACATACAAATAACACGGCTCTACTCTAAAACACATAAATCTTGTATTTATGTGTAACAAAGTCAGTGTAACAATCAAACACGCTAAAATCTGTCAGAAAAATGGCTGATGTTGAGAAAATTCAACAGGAGATACAACAGCCATTGATAAAGCCTAAGGAAATCAGCTCTTCTGATGGCAGAAATCAGGACAAAAATGATGGAGGTCATCCATGGATGGTCTACCTTAGCACTTTTGTTGCAGTCTGTGGCTCTTATGAGTTTGGAGCTTGTGTAAGTTAATACTGTACATGAGTATCGGAGATAAAATCTTGGTTTATGTAGCACCCCATTTTATTGGATTAATTAAGGTTTATAATAAATTAATTTTGCAGGCAGGTTATTCATCTCCTACTCAGTCTGCTATTACTGCAGAACTTGGTCTTTCTACTGCTGAGGTTTGCGCAATTTCTGCTTTTTTTTTTTTTTTTTTTTTTTTTTTTTTTTTTTTTTAATGTTTAATGTTTAAATTTATGATTTGGGAATTTGCAACTTTTGCTTGCAATTTCGGGTTTATAATTAAATGTTTATTATAGGATGTGTGTTTATGTGATTGACAAAATCATCAGCTGTTGTATTATATTTTTGTTGGTGGTGATTGATGATTTTATTCAAGTCGGATCGAAACATGATCATTTGAATTGTTTACGATTTGAACAAGAACACAGACAGCATAAAAACTGAGTGGAGAAAGAATTATCAAGGTTTAATGAATGTAGATTTATGTTTTGGAATTTTGGGACTTCTGATCTCTAAGATTGAAATTTTTTTAGTTGTTCCCTGTTCTTGTTAAATTTTGTTTTATTTTGTTCCATTACTTTCATAATTAAAGATATTAAGATCTTTTCTTTTCATTTCAAAGGCCAATGATGATTTGCATTGTAGTGGTCACCATAGTAGGACTTCACCCTTGCACATGAGTTAAGATACCCCGGCAAAGGCCAATGGTATTTCGCATTTTAGTGGACATCATAATAGGAAAACATTGTTACTGACCCGTGCACACGAGCAAGACATTATCGCACTAACAAAGGCCAAATATGCTTTGCATTGTAGTGGATGCCTATGCTAGCTATAATTGAAGCATTCTTTTGACATGTTTTTAGCAATCAACAAGATTAACTTGAATTTTCCGGTTTTTATTTGTTCTCCAATTCTATAATTCATTGTTCATTTTCTTGCAGTTTTCACTTTTCGGTTCTATATTGACTTTTGGTGCGATGATTGGAGCTATCACGAGTGGACCTATTGCAGATTTTATTGGGAGGAAATGGGTATGATGTAAAATAACATCAATTAAACATTATTTGGGTGAACGATATGAAGATTATGAACTAACATTTTTCATCTGGTCATTTGAACTCCTGTGAATTGGGAAATATTTGCAGGCAATGAGAGTGTATTCTGCTTTCTGTGTGGGAGGGTGGCTTTCCATTTATTTTTCCGAGGTTCAACTTCAAAGCTTATTCTCTCTAATCCTAAGTAAATTTTGCTATCAGAAAAATAAATTACCAATAAAGTTTTCTTAAATAAACCAGGGTTCTTTAGCATTGGATGTAGGAAGATTATCAGGAGGATACGGAATGGGTGCCTTCTCCTATGTGGTATGTATGTTTTGGAGCTACGTCATCGCACAGAAAGTTGCTGTTCTATATTTACTTGTTTTCAGATATGTATTAATGTGCTAGTCACCATGACATGAAAATATAATAGGTACCTGTTTACATTGCGGAAATAGCACCTGTAAATCTCAGAGGAGCACTCACAACCTTAAACCAGGTACTTTTGCACCTTAGCAAATGAAATTGTGCAATTCTCTCATTTCCAACCATTCAAGATTCATTGGATTATTTGACTACATGTATATGTATTATCTATGTAAAATTTTTAAATATTTACATTAATACAAAGTTTGCATCTACTCACATTTCCTCCCTTTACAGGTCATGATCTGTACTGGAGTCTCAGTGGCTTTTATAGTAGGCATAGTATTACCGTGGAGAGCTTTAGCATTAACCGGTAAAGATTTAGGGGAAAACATAGAGCATATTGCTGAGTTTGGTTCGTAGAGACTCAATTGGGTAATGTAATGCAGGAATTATCCCATGTGCTGTTCTGCTTTCGGGATTATTTTTCATCCCAGAATCTCCTAGATGGTTGGTAAGAATACAAAAGCATATTAAAATTTAGGTATAAAATACAATTGGAATAAGATCATCGATTCTAATTAATTACAGGCAAAAATAGGAGCTAAAAAGGAGTTTGTAGCTGCACTTCAGAAGCTCCGTGGCAAAGATGCAGATATAACCCATGAGGCTGATGAGATTCAAGTACTATATGCTCAGCAACACTTTATTACTTTGACTATAATAATGCTAACTCGCTAAGCATTAAAATTGACAGACTCATTTGCATATTATGTCTTTTAATTGATAGAACTACATAGAAGAACTTGAACAACTGCCAAAAGCTAGTATGTTTGACTTGTTTCAAAAGAGGTATATACGTTCTGTCACGGTAAGACTTCCATCCTTGTTATATTTTGTGAGCTGATAGTTAGTGTCAATTCTGTGAATCCATAAACTAAAAACTGGTTTCAATGTTCTGATGCCAGATAGGAGTCGGATTGATGGTTTTCCAACAGTTTGGGGGAATTAACGGTATCTGCTTCTATGTCAGCAATATTTTTGAGATGGCTGGTAAGCAAATTTTATTTAAAACAATGCAAGCAAGAAGTTTTTATGTTTACTGAATTGCGCAAATTCACTGTCTACCAAAATCTTTCTGATTCATATTTACATAAGTGCAGGATTTTCCCCAAGCATTGGTACTATAATATACGCTTTGCTGCAGGTTTGAAAAGCACAGTTCATGCTGTTTGTTAGATAATTTGTTTGTGTGACTGTTCCAATTATTAGTAAATTTCTGCACTACAGGTTGTGGTTACAACTATTGGAGCGACTTTAATCGACAAAGCAGGAAGAAAACCACTGCTTTTGGTAAATATGTTCTGTGTTATTTCGCATAATTTGTTACCTTCTCTGATTAACCAGGATCTGATCTCTCTTTTTATAGGTTTCTGCAGTTGGGCTGGTTGTAGGTTGCATATTGACTGCTATCGCATTCTACCTCAAGGTAACTTATGGAAAAAATCAAACAGAACCTGCTTCAAGTATTATATAGTGTGTTAAAACTTTTTATTTTATTTTATTTTTTTTACAAATCAGGCTCATGAGCTATCAGAGAAAGCATCGGCAGTACTAGCAGTCACTGGCATACTGGTAGAGCATTTATCGGCTTCAAGAAATATTTTGTAAATCTATCAATTAATGTGGATGAATGGAAGCTAAAGCCGTATGCTATTATCTTAATCTCCATTTAGGTATACATATCAGCCTTTTCAGCAGGCATGGGAGCAGTTCCTTGGGTCGTTATGTCAGAGGTGATGGCATACCACAAAAGCTACTAGTATTTCAAATGCAAAATTTCAGCCTATATATCTAAAATTTTGTTTTTTTGGCAGATTTTCCCTATAAATGTGAAAGGAGTAGCTGGTAGTCTGGCAACACTCGTTAACTGGTTCGGTGCTTGGGCGATTTCCTATACGTTCAATTTTTTGATGGAATGGAGTTCGTGTGGTATATTCCTATGCCTAATTCTGGATTATGTTATTTTGAGTTACATATGTGGTGTTCAAGCTACTACATAACATTTTATGACATGTTTGTGTGATGCTGTATTTCCTCAGGTACCTTTATTCTTTATGCAGCAATTAATGCAGCAGCGATCGTCTTCATTGTCATGGTTGTACCTGAAACAAAAGGAAGAACTCTTGAGCAAATCCAAACGGACATTAATGCTTAAACTAGTGAGGAAACAAGCACACCCCATTTTCTAGTGAATCAGACGAGGAAAATTCTTTCAAGAGAATAAAAAATTGTAGCATAAATTTGTCATCCTTTGTTCTTTGGAAAAAAAAAAAAAAGAAAATCTCTTTATTTATCATTATGGCTTATACATTGGCAACACTTATCATTCTTTTTGACATGTAGATTGATCCATAGAAGTGCATATAAACAGGATGTATCTGATTGCCAAGTGTCAGTCCTTAATTCTCAATTGAGGATTTCACCCATTAGACGTAATACCAATCATTCATTGATTAGTATTTCATCATTGTTGAAGGGTCAACTCAAACAAAAGTTTAAAACTCCTTCACGTAAGACCATAAGAACCTTTTTGGGCTTGAAATATGAATGCAGCATTAGCATAAGTAATTGTACACCCAGCGCTACATATATATGGAATTAAAATCTTGAGAGCCAACCTAAAATGAGAACAAAAAACACAAATTTGGATCATTGAAAGTTCAACTAGCTAGTGACATTCAAAGGACAAAAAAACCTTGCGGTAGTCCCCCTCCTCAACACATTCACCATGAACCTAACTTAATAGTTAGTCTCCAGCTCTAACTCAAAACCCACATTGCAAGATAATACATCATAATAATACTTGTATATTACTTAAAGTTAGAGTTTAACAATAATAAATTTAGGAAGAACTTCCTACTCCCTTTGACCCTGTTTATTTGCTCAATTTGACTTTCAAGTCTTCAAGATGCATTTAAAAACGAACGTATACTTCCTTCGTTGCTAAATTATTGACACGTTTGAACTGTTTTACTATTCATATACTAACTTTGACCATTGTTTTTAATAACATAAAAAACCCAAATTTTATCATAAGTATACGGTTGAATATGTTTTAATATAAAATTTCATAATATCAACTTTTTAATTTTTTTCCTAAGCTAATATTTAATTATATATATCTAAAGTCAAACAAAAGTGTTACCATGAGTGCCAAAATTAATTTTGTCAATTATTTAGGTACGAAGAGAGTATATATCTATTTCCATATTGTTACACCCAAATTAAAATTTTGTTGACTTTGACTTTGACTTTTAAGGGAAGTTTGACTAAAGCTTGACTTAATTAAGAACAAAAGGGTCTGGCGCTGTGTTTGCGGGTTTCACCAGAGGCCACTTAACAAGTGTAATATTAGGCCCAAGTAAAAGGTCCATATCCTAAAAGGAGCGTGGCCTTGTTCAGTAAGACTTATTTTGAAGGAAAGCGTTGGCGTTAAGAGCTAGAAATCCTTAGTGGTTGAAGGAAGACCAAAACCAGATTTACAAGGGGCTTTGCCTACAAATAGGTGAAAAATCACAGATGAAAGTTCATCAACAAATCAACCAACAAAAGCATTTAATTTTCATTACGTTTTCTTCAGCGCTTTCTTAGTTTTCCCTTGATTTAGTAGCCAAGTGATAGTTTAAGATTCATTTATCATGTTTTGAAGATCGTTCGATCATTCCAATTATATAAACATGGAGGTAATCTTCATTCTTCTCTTCTTGTTACGATAGCAAGGTTATCAAAGTATAATCAGTAACATTACGCGCAACCCCTTTATCCTAGAACATGATAGAGTATTTGACTGATTGATAAAGAACAATATTTACGCCAACAAGTTTTTTGTCGGACCACAGTGGGAGAAGCTAAACAAAATCCATTATATTCACTTATTTGGAAGTTATCCCATTGCATAATTCCTAAACGCTCAACACGTAAAGGAACAGTACAAATCAGGAGAATGTTAAATCATCTGAATTCATTCTTGATACCATACGTGAGGATCATCATGATCCAGAAAATCCACTTCAAATTGATAATATCGTACGCTCTTCTGAACAACTCGAGCCTCGCACACAAAGGCAAGAGGAGTTAAACTGTAAGAGAATAGAAAGTTGATGAATTTTGTAATTACTCTAGGTAATGGAATGACTGAAGCAAATCATAGGGAAAACCTTCATTTATAATACCTTAGAGTAGATAACGTGACAAGATCACATGCTTATCCGCCACTCACTTAGTATCAAGAAGCGTCCCTCCTCTTGGTGCTGATGAGGGGTATAGGAGTCAGAGATGAGCAATTAGGTTTGGACCTGGTTCGATCTGAATTAGACTATAACTATAAAGGTTATGAACCATCTTCTTCATCTTGGTCTCCACATGTTCCTTCTTTCCTATTGTCCTTTTCAATGGGAGCAACTCCTCATATAGGGGTTTAGATTAGGTCTGGAAACATCAACTATGGTATTGGTGCCTTACCATATGCAATAGGTGCCACACAAACTACTGCATCTGTTCAAAGGGGTATCCTCTCAGTCTATTGATGTGCCCGCAAGATCCCTAGTCTTATACATTTTCACAACGTATGAAATACCACATTAGATGCCTAATGGCACAGGATGACATATCCTTATCCGCAGATGGGACATGCTCCAACAAATAAGCCTTTACTCAGACAAGTGGAGGACATGATCCAAAGGGTAATGAGACAGAATATTGGTCCTTCAAGGAGAAGAACTTGTAATCCATATTCAGAATGAATTGATAAAATATATCCATTTTTAAGGGGGTTCAAAGTCTCTGAGTTTTCCCCTCTCTTTTCTGGCGATAGTACAGTTGGCAGGGGAGGTGACCTATAATGATTTTCTTAAGCTTAGGATGTTTTCTAGTTCTTTAACCAATACCGCTTTTTCTTGGTTTACTCATCTTCCTCCTAACCCAATTCAAAATTAACATGATATGCAAACTCAATTTCTACGCTACTTTATCAGGGTTGAAGCAGGGGTAATAATAGATGATTTAGCTATCCAGGAAAATTTTATCATTTATACTCCCTTACCTATTGAGCAGTCAATTTAATGTTTTACATCAAATCATTTGTTAAATACTTTTATTTTTTTTATTTTTATTTTTTATTTTTAATTTAATAATCTCACAAAGTTACTAGTTTAATAAGAAATAAATAAAGCACGATTTCTCTTTCCACCGAATACGAAGTACTTAACAATGTTGTCTCATCAATAACAAAATCAAAATTCAAAAGGGAGTAAAAAAAGTTGAACAATGCAATTGAGTTCTCATTTTATTACAAGGAAAAACATTTTCAGGAAGTTTAATTGGTATGGCTACAATATCCTTATTAATTACAATACAATTATGACAGATAATATCCTTAAGTATCAATATGTATAGTTTATAAAAAGTTGATATGCCGAAACTACATATTAAGACGATTTTAAGACATACTAATTTAACATGAATATATCTACTATTATATATTAACAAATATCAGTCAAAGTAAACGTAGTGTATGTAAATAGTTCCAAAGCTAAATTAGGGTACTTAAAACAACAGAGGTAGTATTTAGGAATCAAATTATACTTATTGAAAAAAAAAAAAAAGTAAGATCATGTTAAATTTGTCTAGATATAAACTTTAAAATAACAATATTATATCTATGTTACCTAAGCAAACCCTCAATACTCCCCTCTCATGATGCCAAATCAACAAGTTATCTAAGGAAATTCCACATCATGTCAACAAATTATTAAAATGAAATGCATATTATAATTTAAAAGTAGTTTCAATGAGCGGGGAGCAAACCCTCAATACTACTTCCCTCTTATGATGGATGCCATATTAGCAAGTTATGAAAGGAAATTCCATGCCACCTCAGCAAATCTATACAACTAAATTAAAAGTGGGAGTGGAAAGGACACTTGTCCTATTCTGACTTTTTTAATTTATTTTTTTGTTTCAACTAAATTGTGAATATTAAAAATTTAAAGAAAAAAGGAAAAATTAATTTTTAATAATCCCAACCGATATCTGTTAAAATTAACTACTTCAAAAATACAATGATCAATTTTCATTTATGTTTCTTGGTTCCTTTTAATATCAATATATTTCGTATTATTTTTTAATTACACATAATTTAGTAGTTTATCTTCCCTCTCTCTCACTTATTACTCTTTCTCTATCTTCATTCTCTCTATTATTTCTTTCTAACCTCCTAAATCTATAATTAATCTCAAATAATTTTTTAAGAATAATTTCTGTCAAAATCTATATAAACTTTAAAAAACAATAGCGGTATTAAATTTAAGGGCCAGGAGCTGTCAAAGGTAAATTTTCTCAACTTTATTCACAGTTCATTTTTTTTTTAAAATAAATTTATTTCCAAAATTCATTTTTGTTTTTTTTTTGTTGTTTTTTTAAAAGAAAATATTTCCTTACATTTATGTAGTATTTTATTTTACTAATAAAATGCAATTTATATTTAAGATGTTTTGGTTTACATTTATGTAGTATTTATTTTACTAATAGTTCCCTCTAGGTTTCTCTAAAATGATCATTTTAGATAAACTTTACAACAGACGTACAGTATATTTATTATACACACGATTTTAAAAGTTTGTCTTGATAAAAACATATATATTAGCCAAAAATTAACCCGTGCATTGCCAGGCTAACTACTAGTTATATATTAAAATTTATCCCATCACGATTAAAATCAAATAGGGGAATTGAAAAAAGAATTAAAAAAATTTCTTCTAGATGTCATAATTCTACTATAATCAAGGAAACTATCAATCAACATTCAAAACTTCCAAATTTATTAATTGATAAAATAAAAAAAAAAACCTCTATACTAAATAAAATAAACTGAAAAAGGGAAATTTCTCAATTAGTTTCAAAATTAATCTATGAAATAATTCCTTTATGTATAATTTCGTCTTCTTTTATGTAAAACTTTAAACTTATGTGTGTTGAATTAGATGTACCATATTGTTTCACTCTTTTTTTTTTTTTTTGGGTTTGTTGATAAATACTATTCCATCCGTATCAGAATAATCGATACAATCAAATTTAACACATATGTCAATACAATCGTATGACCTTAAATATATATTTTTAAACACCGAGCAGTATAAATATATTAAAAGTATGATGTTATAAAATTTTAAATTATTAACTATTTAACAACCCAGTTTTAGATTTCATTTATTTTAAATATGTTACCAAAAAATTAAGGTCAACGGATTAATTTGGTTTTCTTTGAATTTATTAGCTCGAGTTTGTATATATTTTCCTTTAATTTCTTTTTTATTAATTTATTTTGTCTCTTGTTTATAATTGTCACTTCATCATGGATGGGAATCATTACAATGATGAATATTGTTATAACTATCATGGGGGCAAGAGTTATTATACTCTTTGGGATTTTCATATTTCTGATTCATTCATCGTATCAAAACTCACAAAGTTTTGCATGAATTCCTATGAATTACCCCATGTTTCCTATGATGAATCTAATGAGAATTTCTCAAAAATCTTTGAATCTATATCGAATATAGATGATAAGTAGGTTCTCATCCTACTATATGTCGATGCTGGGCGTTTTTGTTGTTGATGATTTTATGACGAATTGAAAGTAATTCTTTTATCTAAATTTTTTAATACATTTAGGCACCTTTCTATAATACTTCTCTTATTTTACTGTATCAAATTTTTTCTTACCCCCACTCACATATCCGAAAAGAAGAGCTTACAGTAATAATGGTAATTCAAAAGAAAATGGAGGGTGAATTTCAATTCATATACAAAGTAAAAGTAATCAACTCCCTCTCTTATTCAATCTAAATTTTTGACTCTATTTGTAAGAGAAGTTGTTAGATTTTCTATAAACAAAGCCTAAGCAAGTTCCAAATATATACTAAAACAAATTGCTGGTAGTAGAAGTAACTCATCCGCCATATAAAGTGGTACTATCTCTCCTCTTTCTTTAAAGTAAGACTATAATGGATTTCAACAGACTTAATATACTCTTTCCATATTATACACACTTTTACATGTTACTTTCCGTAGTATATAGGATAGATATTGTAAACATATTAAAAAAAAAAAAAAAAAAAAAGGGTTTAACATAGTTATTGCAGTAATATAATAAGAATGAACATACCTGTACCGGAATCTTTTGTGAGGATCCTAATAAATCACTAGGAGTTACACCAGCATTATTCTTACTTTCAAGAAGTTTCGAAATCGTTCCAGTCTCCATACCTTGAAGAAAATGTTTTGCATGGAAGAAGCGTCCACCTTTAATAGCTAGATGCAATGGCGTGTCTCCCTCGTAGTTTTGAAAAAAGATCTGTTTTTCAAATTTTGAATTTCCATGTGCTTTATAAAGGTACTTAATACAATATGGTTGATGTTGTATTAATAGGTGCAACATTGTCTGGCCGTGTTTTTCATCAGATGTCATTACTGAATCTGAAAAGTACATGAGCAATCTTGAGATTGTGATCACATTACCACTTTGAGCCGCCCTTAAAAGAGGTGTTAGACCATTTTTGTCATGTGTATAGGCCGCATCCTCATATGCCTTCGCCAAATCATCTATGATTACACTATCCACATCTTCACCCGAGTCTAACATAACCAAAAATAACTATTATCAAAGGAAGATGGTAATAATTCAATTCAAACATGCAAATGTTTAATTTACAAATTAATTAATTAACTATCATAATTTTACGTGATAACTATTTAATTTAAACGGAGGTAGTATATAGTAATACAAGATAGTAAAAAGAAAAAAAAAAGAATTAACTATCATAATCTTACATGCAATATGCATGTGTGCAATAATGGCATAATTAATTTCTTTAGGTTATAATGTGTGTGACAAGGAATAAAATGTGCAGAAATTGAGTTTCGGTTAACACAAATTCAAGTAAGGGAAAATAACTCTTTACGTACATTGATCAGTGAAGATCAATAAGCTAAAATTAAATTTGGGCCAAAACTTTTTTTATAAGTTGGTGACTTACAGTTGAATATTTCAGCTGCGAGATGAAGAGGTGTCTCATTAAGGTTGTTTGTTAACCTAGCAACAATATTGATATCGAACTCTAGCAATTTCACCACCACCTCAGGATCTTGATTTTTGATTAGTAGCGCTTCGTGAAGGGGTGTATTGCCTTTCGAGTTTTGCACCAACCACGGCCGATCATAATGAGCTCCTTTCGATCTAGCCTCTTCTTTATATCTTTCAAAATATGTGTAACAAAGCTCTAATAATCTCAACACAAACTTCAATTCTGACAATGATAACACGCAATAATCACTCCACACTGAGACATAACGAATCAAGGTGTTCGGAGAATTTCGCATTAGGATATGTAGCGGAGTGTCCCCGTTAATGTCTACTTGACCTATAAACGTGGGAAAGCTTTCGAGAACTTCTTCAATGAAATCAACAAAATCATTTGGTATGACAGGAGTTCCGTTGCTTATTTGCATTAATTTATGAAGGACATTCCTCCTCTTAGAATCTCTTGAGAAAAGATAATTATTTCCAAAATTATGCAGTTTTTCCCTTAAAAAACTCATGTTTGCCCTGTCTATTGCTTCACAAACTTCCAACGTCATTTGATTTTTCTCCAAGGTTTGCTGCATAACATTTCATAAACTAACGCACATTATTAATAATTCGTAAATTAATTTTTATTAAAATTTGAAATTAGAGTAATCAATTTTCAATAATTTAAAATTAATAACTTAATATTAAAATAGAAATCGGAAATGGCCTATGTCACTTGCTGTTTTTTCACTCCAAATTTACTCTTTTTTTTTTTTTTTTTTTTTTTTATAAAAAAATATAAATTTTAATATCAATACTATGTATACTAATGTCAATTACTATATAAATATTATTACACAAGATTCACATTGTATTTAGAGTATAAATCATGATATGATTTGGACAATTTAATTTACCAAACTATGGAAATAATATTAAGCAATTTCTTTTTTTTTTTTTTTTTTTTTTTTTTGGAATGAATATTGAATAAGTTTCATTATAAATTAAAAAACGAATGAATACTGAATAAGTTTCATTATAAATTAAAAAACAACTTTATCATTTATTAAAAAAAAAAGAAGTTGTGATTTGAACATTGAATTGGTTACAAAAATTTTGTGGATATTGCAAAATTACCCTATAAATATAACTTATACGCGGTATAAGTTTAAATATTTTTAGGAGATACTTCATCCGTTCTTTTTAACTTGACCTGCTTTGACTTTTACACTATTCACCACCTCTCCTTTGACCGTCTTCTGTGAATAATAAGTAAGGAAAAACATATTCATGTGGGGTCTTTTTAAATTCGTCCTAATAAGTACTATCATAGTATAAAACTTTTATAATTTTTACTTAAGAAGAATTAAAGTCGTAGATCGTTAAAGTTTTGCATTGGCAAGCGTGATTAAAGAAACAGGTCAAGTAAAAAAGAACAAAGGAAGTAGTAAACATTCGATGTTTTAAATTGCTAAGAATAATCGAATACAACGCAAAATAGTGTTATTACAATTTTCATAATTTTTTCATTGTGAAGTTAAAGATATATATATATATATATATATATATATATATATATATATATATATAATATATATATATATATATATATATATATATATATATATATATATATATATATATATATATATATATATATATATAGCCAGAAACACACCAATATTATTAGGTTAACTATGAAGTGTGATCCGAACTTATTATTTTTTTATTTAAACTTATTTTTTTCTAATTAGGTCTGAAATAAGTAAATTTGTAAAAATAAGATGAACTAAATTAAACGTAGTCTTACTTAGAAGAAATCTAGCTTTAGACTTTCCATAGTGGTTGTACACGATTGTGACTCTCCAAGTGGAACTAATCTCATAGTCTTTTTCTAATATTGAGGCTTTAAAAAAAAATTAGAAACTTCATAAAAAAATTGTAAAAGCAAAATGTGAAATAACCTCTAATAGTAAGCAATATTTTTTTAAAAAAAAATATATATATTTTACTTATCTTTTTAATCTATAATTTAATTGATTTTATGTATTAAATGTTGTGTTATTTCTCAAATTAGATTAGGTATCAAAGTTTATTTTTTATGTTTGATTTTTGATACATACATATATCAAAATTTGTTTGCTATACATATAAAAGTTAATAAGTTATTGTCATGGACCTATCGTGCATGGCACGGGTGCTAAACTAGTGAATTCCTAAAGGAATTATAATTAATTTAGCATTTAAAGATAATTCAAAAATTATTAAATCACAGTCTTCCAATTTAAAAATTATGGTAGTCAAATGACTACGGTTTAATTTTCAGATAATTGGGGAAGGGTCAGAGAAATCTCTGCCTTAAATTGCACCTAGTGGGGCCGACCCCCAAAAGCTCGATCCTTGCCACTAGGTCAAACTTTGCTTAGTTATAGTTTGATCCAGTCGGTCCCTTTACTCTTTAGGGAAGGTATGTTATGGGGCTACTAGCTAGGCTACAAGGGCATAACTAAAAGAACTACGTGTATCCAAATTCATGTAAATTGCTGTAAAATAATAATACAAGAATTATTGGTAATGATAGACGGCTCTGATCTTACCTCAAACTGTTCTTGAATTAAAGATGCAGCGGAGATTCCATCTTTGTTTCGAATGCTTTGTTTGGCCGAGGAATCCAATAGAACTCGCACCATGTAAAAGTTCAAATTCTTTGCAGCCATATGTAATGGTGTGTTTCCTTCTTTGTCTTGATGATTCCTAAGACCAAATATTTCTTTAACATCAAGCAAGTCTTTGCCTTCTTTGTAGCTCGGTATCGTTTTCAAAAGGTGTAAGATGGTCTTGCTTGAACCATCACGCAACTCCGCAGAATGTGGGCAATGATCAAGTATTAATCTAATAATGAGTAGATTATATAGGCTGATGTAATTGATGCTGCCCTATGTAATGGAGTTGCTCCTTTTGCATCACGCCAACATGCAATATACCTATCTTTCTCTAATAGAAGCTTTATCATGTCAAGATATGGGGTATTTGCAACTTTTCTCTTCTCGATTGGTACATCTATTGATTTGTTATAAATTATCGAGATATCAACTAATTCTACAAATCAGAGGCTAAAAAGATTTCCTTCATAATATTCTAAAAAATTGTCTATAAATTTTATGAAAATACATCAAATAGGCTTCAATTAATTCACTCGTTGAATTACAAAGTGCTACTACATTCACTCACTGATTTACAAAGTGCTACTACATGGTTGTTTGATTTGAAACAATTGTTGTATGATGTTCTTCTTCATACTTTATGCTTTTGTGGTTGAAAATTTTACAGTAGTCGTTTGAAATATGACTACCATAATGTTTTAATGATCATATTTTTTTTTTTTTGAATTTAATGATCATATATTTCATAATTGACATATTTTTTCCATGTAACTAATTTATATTACTTTATTAATGGTATTAAATAGTAACTAATTTATATTTTCTTGGCAATGAAAATTTTGTCTTTTTACACTCCCTTACCTCTGTTTCTTGAGTTGTTAATTCAGGTGCTAAAGTTAAACCAATCTTTATTTTATTAATGGCGTTTTAAATTCTTACAATGTTAGAAGCTTAAGAACTAACACACAGTTTTCGTTCGCCCAAAAGTGTTATATCAATAAAAACTTTGACAATATTGGTTTGAATCTTCCCTAAATTAAAAATTCAGCATTTTTGGAAGCAAATCAACTAATGAAATACCTAATTTCCTCTTTAATTTCCTAATTTTTGTTTTTCGGCAGTAAAACTCTATGAATTTTAATTGCCTAGTTGCAAGGAGTTTTGCTCCACTCAACAAAAGTCGTGAGCAGTGACAAAATGCATGATCAATTGATCATTCTCTTGAAATTATGACCGGAAAATGAAAATGAGTGTCAATTAACAAGCTATTAAAACTTTTGGGCGACAATTTACTTTTTATTTTAAAAAGTTTTAATTGATTAAGTGAGTATTTTAAATGGTTGCATTTGACAAATTTTCCAAATCATTATAGTTAATTATCAATGTCTTAAGATGTCACGTAAGTGACATGAACATATTTTCGCTTATCTAGATGTGTGCAATAATCTTAAAAATTTTAAATTATATTTTAACTATTTATTACAATTATGTGACATATATACAATGAGAAAGAAGTAATGTTAAAAGATAAAATGTTATTATATGAAAATAGTCAATACTAGGGCTTTATACCCCAACTAAAAATGGTAGATCAGATAATGATTGTGGTTTCAGTGTTATTTATTTATATGTTTATCTATCTATCTATTTATTTGTTTATTTATTTATTTATTTATTTATTTATTTATTTATTATTATTATTATTATTATTATAATTATTATTATTTCGCAATATAAACCACTATTAAATTGCGTCTCACTCTTTCTCTCATTTATTAACTACAGTGACATAATCTTGATTATACTTTATTTCATTGGCGGACCTGGGCTTGTGCCTGGTGAGTCAAGTGACTCACCAGGGCCCAAAAAAAAAAATTGTAACTTCTGAGTTAGCCCTAGCCCACTTCGCCAGTTCGCCTCTTCCTCTTCGCAAGTTCGCATCTTCCTCTTCGCCTCTTCCTCAGACCTCAGTTCCTCTTTGCTAGTTCGCTTCATCTTCCTCTTCGCATAATTTCAGGTTAGTCATCTACTCATCTTTCGGCTTTTTATTTATTTATTTAATTAATTGTTGATATTACTTGTTAGTTGTAGTTATGAATTATGATTTAGTAATACTAAATTTGAACCCTAAATCCCTAATTGTTCAATAATCAACTCAATTTCAGAGAATTTTGCATTATCTGAATTGTGAATTTGTGAAATGTTTGAACCCTAAATCCCTAATTGTGAATTTGTGAAATGTTAGTTATCAACTTAATCCCTAATTGACTAATTGTTCATAATCTACTGCTCTTCGCTAGTTTGCTCACGCCTCCAGGTCCGCCACTACTGCTGGCTGCTGCTCGCATGCTCGCCTAGTCGCCTGCTCCAGTGCCTAGTCGCTGACTTGCTGTCTTGCCGAGTGTTGGGCGTGGCCCTGCTGCAGTGCTGCTCCGCTGCTCGCCTCAATCATTCAGCGCCTGCCGCCTCTGCCTAGCAAGGTAGGTAATCATCAATTGATTCTTTTTTTTTTTGTGAATTTTTGATCAAATTTGCATTACTTGTCTCTTAAAATTAGTATATACGGTGAATGTTCATTGAATTTGCATTATTTGTGTAAATTGTGTTTTGACTGTTAAATTCAACTTATTAGTTTATCTGTTTATGTCATTATGTGAAATTGTGAAGCCGGACATTGTATAAGACAACAATTAGACTATTAGTGTAAGGAGGATTATAAATTTATAATTAGATTACAGTGTGGACTGGTTAGTGCTTAGTGGTGCTAGTCGCATATTCGGCTGGAAGTTCTGTATAGACTAGTGGAGATATTAGTTTGTTGATTTTAGTCCTGTCAATTTTAAGCTTGTTAATTATTAGTTAGTATTGTAATCTTGTCAATTTTCTATTTGGATGATCTTTGTAAATAATTTTTCTGGGGAATATTGCTTGATTTAGTTTAATATTGCTTGATTTAGTTGAATATGAACTGTCCAACCAATTATGAATAGGGGTAATTCGCTGTTGGGGTTATTTGCATATGATTTATACTTGTGATTTCATTTGTTTTGTTAACTTTGTGTTTGATTAGGTTGTTGAATTTATATGCAGGGAAGACTCAGCTTATTGTGATCAACAAGAGTTGGTATATTGTTGATTTGCCTGGATATGGGTGAGTCTCTGTAATTTTGGTTTTAATTTGGGTAATTTCTGTAATTCTTGAGTCTATTTCATACTGGGAATATTGTATACTTGTATTGTGAATCAATTGTTATTCGTGTTTATTCCTGATCATATGCTTGAATCATATTGAAGTGCCAAAAAAGGATTGCTTTTACGCCTTGAGGCATTGCTTCAAAATTATTGATCATCCTGTAAAACATGTTGCGGACTGATATGTATTTAGGCTACATCCGCTGTAGTTAATTTGGTCTCCAATCGTGTTGTTTATTTTCAAGTTTAGGAAGTAAATGTCTCCTTACATGTCATTGTGAAATTTTTTTTACATATTTGATTATCGATTGTGACTCACCAGTCGGAAATTCCTGGGTCCGCCACTGCTTTATTTGTATGTATGAAATAATGAATAATTGAAAAATATATACTTTTGTATTACAAGATTGATTACACTGATATACATGAATTAAATAATGTAATTTATTTAGTTTTTCAGACTCCAAATTTAAGTAATTGATTGTTATTATGAAAAGTTTCACTGACGCCTTTTAAATGTACAAGTTTGACAATTTTTTATCTCTAATTATTTTTAGATATGAATCTTGAAATGAAAAGTTGTTAGGTTAAAATATACAATAAGTCGAATTTAAAACAATTTTTATATTAATATTTGATAATTATTATTACATATTAGTAAAAAATGATCAAAGTGAGTTGTGTGAATGTTACTAAAAATCAACTTATACATTTATTTTTGGGGTTGAAGATAGTAATTATAAGGAAATTAAAAATATAAAATTCAATACTATGAAAATTAAAAAAAAAAATAAAAAAATGTAAGGAATCTAATAAGAGCTCGATAAGTTAATATGTTTTTTTTATATATTAATACCTCTATATATTAACATAAAATATGGTAGAATTCATACTTACCAATAGGTTGGTGCATGGTTGCAAGATGAAGGAGAGTCTCTTTATAATTGTTGATAACATTAACCATTTTAGGATGGTTTTCTACCAACAATTTAGCAACCTCAACGTTACCATGGATAAGTGCAACATGTAATGGTATGTTGCCCTCTCCATTCTTCGTTATGAACGCGCTACCCTCCTCTTCGACTGTCTCCTCGTACACATAGTTATGGAGTAGCTTAAAAATGTCCATGTCGCCCACCTCAGCGGCGACATGGACAGGGGTGTTTCCGTCTTCGTTCTTCTGATTCATCAGCTTATCAATGGCTTGTTTAGATACTAAGCCCTTTAAAACAACTTCTTCTACGAACCCGAATTGCTGATATTGAATTCCTAAGTGAAGGATGTTATTTTTGTGATCAGTTTGCTTAAGAAAATATTCCTCACTACCACTCTCTATTTCTTTGTTTCGTGCATCTTTTAGAAAGCTTACATCACCTGATAGTGCAGCATTGTAAAGCTCTATTTCCATTATTTAATTGTCTTTTGTTTTTTTGTTTTTTTTTTTTTTAATTTTTTTTTTAATTTTTTTTAATTTTTTTTAATTTTTAATGTCTATGCTTGTTTATTGTAACTCATGCATGGTTTCATGTACACAATATATAATAAGTAATTTCGTATCTATTACTACTTGTTACATAGCTTTGTTCATAACCTTTTATACTTTTTTAATGAATAAGCTTCTATTTTTGGTTATGTGTTCTGAATGTTGGCTTTAATTTCTTTAACTAAAGTGGAAGAAATAATCTTTTATGTCCTTTACGACACATTAGATGCAATAGACAAGAATAAAACTAGTTCAAAATCATGAAATCATATTTTATTAATACTTTATTCTATAATTGTTTTTGCAGCAACGAATAGTAAAAGAGTTAAAAGGATGCAATGGCAGGCCATGCTAGATCCTTTACAAAATTAAAAAGCCAAGACTTAAATGAGGTTTAACTTTGTTAACTCTAAGAATGTAAGTTTGCATCTATAGATAGCGAAACGAAATTCTTAACGTTTGTAAGGGGAAAAAAAAAACTAAAGAATTCTCTAATTTTTATTATTTGCAATAAAGGGGTATTATTTGTAAAACATAAAAAACCATTTCAATGTCAAAAAAAATAAAATAAAAAAAAATAAAATAATAATAATAATAATAATAATAATAATAATAATAATTACTGCAAATGATAAGAATCGAAGGTAGTTTTTTTTTTTAGGTAAGGAAGATGAATTGCCCTGGAGTCCTAGACCTTAATGGAGCCGAACCTTTTACAGGTCAATCCGGCCAAATTTGCGAGTTATACACTTTTAGAATAGGGGGAAATAGTCCAATCTTTCCACTAGGCTTTTGCTTGTTAAATCAATAAATTGTAGTGTAATTAACAAAAATAATACTCCCTGTTTATATATATATATGTATGTATATATATATATAACTATTACTACTTGTTATTTAGCTTTGTTCATCACCTTTAATTTCTTTTTTAATGAATAAGCTTCTATTGCTTTAACTTCTTTAAACTAAAGTGGTGAAAATAATGTTTTATGCCTTTTATGATACACAAGATGCAATAAACAGAAGAATAAAAAACAAGTTCAAAAATCAAGAAATGTGAGCATTGTGTAGCTATATTCTATAGTTGATTTTGCGGCTACGAATATTAAAAAAGATTAAAGAATGGGTAGCTATATTCTATAGTTGATTTTGCGGCTCGAATATTAAAAAAGATTAAAGAATGGTATGTTGGCCATATCATGCTACTAGAGACTTTAAAAAATAAAGACAAAACTTAACTAAGGCTTAACTTAGTTAACTCCAACTCTCCAAGAATGTAGGGTTGGCATCAATGTGTAGCAAAAAGCAAGGAAGGAAAAAAATTAATTAAGAATAAATGAAGGGTAATGTTATACATAGTCATTATTTAATATCTATTCTAGTTTGGTAAATTCTCTGTTTTTTTTTATTTGACTTATTTCTTTTATCACGCTTGCCTGTGCAAAACTTTAATGTATAATAACCATCATTTTTCATAAGTAAAAATTATAAAAGTTATATATTATAATAGTTCTTATTCAGACGAATTCAAAAAGATCCTACATGAATATGTTTTTCTTCACATATTATTCACAAAAGACGGTCAAAGAAGGGGTGATGAATAGTGTAAAAGTCAAAGCAGGTCAAGTAAAGAAGAACAGAGGAAGTATTAATTGAGGAATACATGACAAAATCACGCGCAAATCAATGTAATTAACGTTATGTTTTCTTTTGTTTTTTTCATTTTTAGCTTCTTTTATGTAGCCATTAGGGCTATGTAATCTACAATAGGTAATAAATAAATAGGTTCTCTATGCGGGCAGGGTTTTTTTTTTTTTTTTTACTCCATTAATTGTTTTAATGTGTTACATCTCCATTTTTGACAAACTATTACATCATAGCTAGTGTATGGCCCGAGTGCTGCACATGTTGCTACTTTATAATATAATGTTAGTAAAAAAGAGGATTGAAAGAGAATAGTTCTCCATTGTCGTAAAATTGTTGAGCCTATTCCAGTTTATTCATTTTTAAGGCTTTATAATTATATTTAATTGTTTTTTTTTATTGTGTTTACTAAAAGATATATTTATTATTATATACAGATGACATGGAATAATGGTTGCATTGCTAATGAGGACGTGGTACAATTCCAGTGCAGATCTACTTCATAGCACATAAATATTTTTAGAAACACTTTTTAATACATAAAATAAAGTATAAATAATACTTCATCCGTTCATTTTTACTTGACCCACTTTGACTTTTACACTATTCACCACCCCTCCTTTGATCGTCTTTTGTGAGTACGTAATATATAAGAAAAAACATATTCATGTGGGATCTTTTTGAATTCGTCTAAATAAGAACTATCATAATATATAACTTTTATAATTTTTACTTATAGAGAATTAAAGTTATTGATCGCTAAAGTTTTGCATTGGCAAGCGTGATAAAAAAACAGGTTAAGTAAAAATAACAGAGGAAGTAGCATGTTAAACTAAGTTAAATCTTGTGCTATGCTCGGTGATAATTTACACTATTTATCATTAAATTAACAACATATATATTTAAAGGTAGAATTTGTCTCAACACCCTAAATTATAGTTTGAGTGCACCCAATATTCCGAACTTTATCTAATACTTGTCACAGACTCATATTATTACATCACCTCTATGGATTGAAGTGCATTACTGCATTATATGTAGTTAGTGTAATTAATTTTAGGATAGAAATGAAAATTAAAATTGGAGCAAAAGTACTAACAGACAACTAAAAGAAAGAGTTGTGATGAAAATTTTGGAACTAATTTTTCCATTGCTTGTAATTTAAGGATTATTGAAAACATTGACAAATTCATAAATTTTTGCAAAAAGAATAATTGAGAAGGCGTTGGTGGGTTAAAATTAAAAATGAGAAACTAAAGTATATAGGAATACAAAAGATTTCAAAATAATTGTGTGGATTGTAAAGAGTGAAAGTAATTAAAGAGGAATAATATAGATTAATTAGAAAGCGTTGTTTCATTCTCGTTGTATAGTAGATATTTTTTTTAGGAAGCTCACCTGATTCACCACATTCGGATTCGACTCATATATGTTGTAGATCTGGTTTATGGTGGATGTATATCCTTACAAGAGTTTCAGTCACTTTCTATATACGATGAGGCTCGAATTTGAAAAGGTGTTTCAGTCACTTTCTACAACTAGCACTACTACAAATCCCTTAGTTTCTAGACGTTGTTTGCTCGACGCCAGGTAACAAGCGTTAGCATAAAATTTAGTTTCCGTGTTTTTTCGACACTTTTCTATGTCACAATTGGGTATTGACATAGAAAAGCGTCGTAAATTAACATGCCTTACTGCACGTGACTAAAATCCATCCCGGGACTTCAAAATTTTAGGGAAAAAATAAGCGGGCTTTTTCATCGGCACAATTCTACAGCGCATAAACTTTAGTTCTCATCAGCACTACTTTCCCACAGCTAAACCCTAACTTTTCTATGCTTACAATCGATCTCATCTGATCTCCTAAACCGCTTGAAATTGTTGAATTGTTGTTCCTCTCTTCAGTATTATCTTCAATTATCGGTAATCCCCCCGCTCTTGTCATCAATTTTCCGTAATCTCCTTGTTATAGGCATCAATTTCGTAGTTTTTGGTTGATATATCACTCAAATTAGGTTGCTTATGAGGCATCAATGTCAGAGTATTGTCCACTCTAAATTTTCCATTGAAGCGGCTTCAAGAGCTTTCTCTCCTCCATTGAAGCAGCTTCTGAGGTATAATGTTTTACTATTAAAATCTCCAAATATCAATTTCACAACTTAAGGGTTTAATTTCACTCTGACATTTACCTTTAAAGTCATTCTCAAACTCTCTCAATCGGTTTCCACCGCCACAGTACACCACTGACATTTGCGACGATTGACTGCGCTCAGGCCATGGTAAACGGTGATGTTAATCTGGCCACGGTGTAAGTTATTCTAATAAATTTGTTTTCGTCTGAATTATGTAATTAGGGTTCTAAATTTTAGTTCGTCTCTAACATTGCTGAAACCGAAAGATGTTTATATTTTTTAAAATGTTAAATTAGCTTGATGTGTAATCTCCTGTGGTCAAAGCAGTAGATCGAAGCAGAAGCAAATGCCTGGCCGCAGAGGTTTTTTCCTCGAATTTTTAGTTATTTTATTTGAATTGTTTTCTGTAATTTTGCTGATTTTTTAGTGTATATTGATTTTGAAATTTTAGTTGAATTTTTTAGGGTTTATGTTTTGGTAATCTAGTAGAAGTTTTCGGGATTATTTTTTTATGTTGAGTATATTTGGTGGTTTTGAAGCATTGTTGTTGCAATTAAGATTTTTCTGGGTTAGATTTTGTGTTTTCATTGATTTTTGTCACAAACTAGTAAATTATGCTTTATTGTTGTGTTGCCAGCTAGGGTTTTGCAGTGAAACTTTTCTATAGTATAGATTGAGGTTTAAACTGTTAATAGATAAAAAAAATATATTTTGGTGATTGGTTGCCATCAAAATTGTAGAAAGAACAAGCATGATGAAATTCTAGTATTTGGATTCAGTGTTGTTTATACACTATATGAATCGTTATCAAAGTCTTTTTTTGGCTGTCAAATTAGAACTAAAGAGAATTATTTTTATCTTTACGAGGACTTTTTCTCACATTTATGTTGTCTGTTGTGGTTTTGTATATACAAATCTGTAAATATTATCGAACAACTTTTTCCATTCTGTTTTGTATTGGTTAATCCATCTCTATTAGCAATGAAAAGTAGGAGCTGCTTTTGTTTCTTTGTTGTTTTGAATGGATGATTTTCTCATGCCTTTTCAGCACATTTGTTTCTATCTCTCATTTGTTTCATTCTTAGTTACACAGTAAAGAAAAAAGAAACTGCTGCTCATTTGCCTTTTTTTTTTTATGTAAAATTATTCGGTTTAACATGTAGATTGCAGCAATGGTGATTCTCAGCATCCCAAACTGGAACTTCCTGGTACTGATTACATGCCCCTGAACCGATAGGTATTTTATTTAATTTTTATAAAATGCAGTTTTCAAAACTCTATCAAAAGGCAAAGAGCTCTAGATATCTTCTAAGATCAAGATATTGTATATATCTTCTCCCAATGTTACCCATTATAGAGCTTTGAACTTATAGTCGAAGTTTTCAGGATAGTGCTAGAAAGGCCCTTAAGCCTTATGGGGAGGAAAATGGATCTGCAAAAGCTCAGTCATCACCAAAATAAATGCTGGTTATAATCTAATAGTTCCTAATACTGAGTATTGCTATATTGGGTGATTAGCAATAGTTTTATTATGTAATAATATGTATTGCAGTTGAACATTTCTATTATAGAATATGGATTATATTTTCTATAAACTATTGGTGTTACATTTAGTTTAACACTAAAATGGTTCTCCTGATTTGAAGGATGAGCTCTTGTGGGCAGCTGCTTGATTGTACCGAGCCACGAATAATGACTACTATTTGCAGTATGCATCTTACAATGCAGCCAATTTAGGTGGAACTGGTAATTCAGTCAAGATGTTCTCTTGGGATAACAAGTATGCTAGTGTACAGATCCTTCTAACAAAGGTAATTACATTGAAAAATTTTGATTTTATATTTTGAAGAAAAACTTAACCATGTCATAATTCTTTGGAGTTTTGCATATTAACGAAATTTCATGGGATCATCATCAGCCTGTTAGGTAATGTTCACTTGCTCATTATATGTAAGAACTGAAAATTAAATGCAGCACAAACTTGTATTTTATAGGTTTTGTTGGATGGAGATGGTCGAGCATATACTGACACTCTAAAGCAATACAAAGCCAAAGCAGATTTCTTTGTTTGCGCTTATTTGCAGAAAAACAATGGTGACAATGTTCCCATGACTCCAGGTCAATCTTCTGTATCTATTCTTATTTGTAATGTTTAAAGTTTTGGTGCATATGCATTGGTGTTTATATTTGTTGGTAACTGTCTATCTTACATACGTCCTAGCTTTTGTGCTGCCACTTGATGATGCTCATGACTTTTGTGTTGGTGTAAAAATACGTGTGTGTATTTGGTTTATGTATGGTAGTGTACGTGTGTCTTAGATTTTTCCATGTGTGGAAAAAGTGTGTTGTGGCAATGTGGCCTTCATTCTAGACTTCAGAGGCCTTTGTGCACTTGCTGCTCGAGTTGTATCTTATTTTTGTGCTTTCTCCATCATCATACTCTATTTTTTATGAAAAAATTTACTTTGCCATTTATTTCATCATTTTTCTTTAAAAATGCTTTGCAAGTACCAAACTCATCAAAAAAAATATACTTATACCATTGCATTCCTTCAGACAATTTTTTTACCCCTGTATTTCTTCTGACAATTAAATATTATATACTTATTGATTTTTTTTTTCTAAGGTTATGAATGCAACAAGAGAACAAAGGAAACCTATTGATGAAATTAGCCTACTATGCACCTTCATTTGTTTATAGTTAGTTAGATAGTAGTTAACTTATGTAGGCTTAAATCTAACTTTTTAATTTAGTTGGCAGTTGATTTATGTAATAATAATGATGATATTTTGGACATGACTAGGCTTTTTGGAACATCAATCAGTGATAGTATGTAGGTCAGGGATTGGATTTCAACTCTTTTTTGTTCGTTAATTTTGACAGAAACTTAAATAAACTAAACCAAACTAACATATCATAACATAAGCACATTCATTTCAAATATTTCAACATATTAAAATATAAATAGAATTGATTGTATATACTACACAGAAAACAATAATAAACTAACATATATCTAAATACATTTATCGACTAACATGTATAAAATAAACATATAATTTTTGGTTTTATATAGTCTCTAACCTGTAGATCTGCACTAATTATTGCCAAAGAACCAAGAAAATCTACAAATCCTACAAAAAAATTCAAATTAAACAATTAGGAATTAAGTATGTGCTGCCTATGTATATTAAAAAAACGAATAAATGCTATAAAGTTATAATGAAAAAAACCAAAAAAAAAAAAAATTTGAAACACAACCTACTGTCGGCGGTGGCTGGGCGTCGCTCTGGTTGCAGACCGGCGGCGGGCTGGTGTCGTGGTTGAGGGGGTGGTGGCTGTTATTAGGCATTCCAAAAAAAAAAGAAAAAATAAATAAAAACATCACCAAAAACCCCAAAACAGTAAATTTTATTTTTTTTAAAAAAAGGGGGCTAAACACTTACCACGGCGGCGCTTTGGGTGAATTCCGGTCAAGCCTTGGTGTTTGTGGTGAAATTCGGCGCCGCTAAAGTGATTTTCGACAAACCTTAGGTGGTGGTGGTGGTGGTTAGGGTTTCCGCAATTTTTTTAAAAAAAAAATTAAAATAAATCCGCAGACTAACCTACACCGGCAGCGACCAAGGGCGGCTGGTGGTGGAGCAGGAGGCGAGGTCTCCTTCTCCCTTTCTCCTTCTCTCTTTCTCTCTCTTCCTCTTTTTCCCTTTCTCTCTCTTATTCTTTGGTGCTGTTTTCTGTCGCAAAAAACGCAGAAAACTGAAACCTTTTTTTTTATTTTGTTGTACGCTTCCAACGGAATTAATTCCCTCGGAATTAACCTGTTCCGGCGGAATATTCCGTCGGAAAAGGTTAATTCCGAGGGAATTAAAATCCGTCAGAAGTATACCTACGGACTTTTCTGTCGGAAAGTCCCGGTTCCGACAGATTTTTCCTACAAAGCCAAATTCCGCCGGAAAGTTTAAAATTACCGAGGGGATTGCAGTCCGCCGGAATTTAACCTATTTCTAGTAGTGTTCTTTGTTTACGCTTATTTGCAGAAAAACAATGGTGACAATGTTCCCATGACTCCAGGTCAATCTTATGTATCTATTCTTATTTGTAATGTTTAAGGTTTTGGTGCATATGCATTGGTGTTTATATTTGTTGGTAATTGTCTATCTTACATACGTCCTAGCTTTTGTGCTGCCACTTGATGATGCTCATGACTTTTGTGTTGGTGTAAAAATATGTGTGTGTATTTGGTTTATGTATGGTAGTGTACGTGTGTCTTAGATTTTTCCATGTGTGGAAAAAGTGTGCAGTGGCAATGTGGCCTTCGTTCTAGACTTCACAGGCCTTTGCGCGCTTGTTGCCCAAGTTGTATCTTATTTTTGTGCTTTCTCCATCATCATACTCTATTTTTTATGAAAAAATTTACTTTGCCATTTATTTCATCATTTTTCTTTAAAAATTCTTTGCAAGTACCAAAACTCATCAAAAAAATATACTTATACCATTGCATTCCTTCAGACAATTTTTTTACCCCTGTATTTCTTCTGGCAATTAAATATTATATACTTATTGATTTTTTTTTCTAAGGTTATGAATGCAACAGGAGAACAAAAGGAAACCTACTGAAGAAATTAGCCTACTATCACTACATGAAAAGAGCAAATTGGCAACGGTTCAAACCCCCCCAAAGGCAACGGTTTTGAACCGTTGCGTATTTGAGTGTTGCCAAATCCCAAATAATTGGCAACGGTTCAAAACAGTTGCCAACTGCAATGGCGCCCTTTTAAAAAAAAAAATTGGCAACGGTTAACCGTTGCCATTGACCTGTATTTTTTTTTTGGCTGCAATAATAATATTTACATGTTAAATAATAATAATTATTAATATTATAATAGTAATAATAATAATTATTATGATAATAGTAACAATAATTAGTATTATTAATAACAAAACATAAATAATAATAACAATCACAAGAGATGATATTAATTAGAAAAATGTGTCATGTTACCTACAAACAATTTTAATTAGTTATAATAATGTATAGTACATAATTAGTAAGCTAAGGCTAGGATTGATGAAGTAGCTAGCTAGTAAACGATATTTACAAAGTAAATGTGATGTAGGTCGCCAACATCTCTCGAATTACATGGAGTTCCTCGCTCGTGTATGGCTGTCCCGTTTGCCCCTTGCAAAACTTAGAATACACAAAACGTGAGTTAGTAGAATGAAGTGAATTAATAATAATTGGGGTTAATTAGTAGGAATGACCCGAACAAAACTTGGAATAATACACAAAACTTAAGTGAACTCATACTTACTAATAATAATAACATGACATTATTACTTAGTTATATGTGACTAAGGAATGAAATTACAAGAAAATAGCAATATGAGGGTTTAGGTCGCATTTTCGATCAAAATAGCCTAAGTAAGGCCATTTTGGCTTCTAGGATGCCTATTTTCTATAATTTTTGTATATTGAAATCATAACTAGTTAAAACATGTCATTATCACTTAGTTATAGGTGACTAATGCTTGAGATTACAAGAAAAGAGCAAGTAAGTGGTTTTGGAACGCAATTTCAACCAAAATGGCTCAAGTAAGGCCATTTTGGCTACTAGGATGCCTATTTTCTATATTTCTTGTCTATTGAACTCATAACTAGTTAAAACATGTCATAATCACTTAGTTATAGGTGACTAATGCTTGAGATTACAAGAAAAGAGCAAGTAAGTGGTGTTGGAACGTAATTTCAACCAAAATGGCTCAAGTAAGGCCATTTTGGCTTCTAGGATGCCTATTTTCAATATTTCTTGTCTATTGAACTCATAATTAGTTAAGACATGTCATAATCACTTAGTTACAGGTGACTAATGCTTGAGATTACAAGAAAAGAGCAAGTAAGTGGTTTTGGAACGCAATTTCAACCAAAATGGCTCAAGTAAGGCCATTTTGGCTTTTAGGATGCCTATTTTCTATATTTCTTGTCTATTGAACTCATAACTAGTTATAACATTTCATAATCACTTAGTTATAGGTGAATAATGCTTGAGATTACAAAAAAAGAGCAAGTAAGTGGTTTTGGAACGCAATTTCAACCAAAATGGCTCAAGTAAGGCCATTTTGGCTTTTATGATGCCTATTTTGTATATTTCTTGTCTATTGAACTCATAACTAGTTAAAACATGTCATAATCACTTAGTTGTAGGTGACTAATGCTTGAGATTACAAGAAAAGAGCAAGTAAGTGGTTTTGGAACGCAATTTCAACCAAAATGGCTCAAGTAAGGCCATTTTGGATACTAGGATGCCTATTTTCTATATTTCTTGTCTATTTAACTCATAACTAGTTAAAACATGTCATAATCACTTAGTTATAGGTGACTAATGCTTGAGATTACAAGAAAGAGCAAGTAAGTGGTTTTGGAACGCAATTTCAACCAAAATAGCTCAAGTAAGGCCATTTTGGCTACTAGGATGCCTATTTTCTATATTTCTTGTCTATTGAACTCATAACTAGTTAAAACATGTCATAATCACTTAGTTATTGGTGACTAATGCTTGAGATTACAAGAAAAGAGCAAGTAAGTGGTGTTGGAACGTAATTTCAACCAAAATGGCTCAAGTAAGGCCATTTTGGCTTCTAGGATGCCTATTTTCAATATTTCTTGTCTATTGAACTCATAATTAGTTAAGACATGTCATAATCACTTAGTTATAGGTGACTAATGCTTGAGATTACAAGAAAAGAGCAAGTAAGTGGTTTTGGAACGCAATTTCAACCAAAATGGCTCAAGTAAGGCCATTTTGGCTTTTAGGATGCCTATTTTCTATATTTCTTGTCTATTGAACTCATAACTAGTTAAAACATGTCATAATCACTTAGTTATAGGTGACTAATGCTTGAGATTACAAGAAAAGAGCAAGTAAGTGGTTTTGGAACGCAATTTCAACCAAAATGGCTCAAGTAAGGCCATTTTGGCTTTTAGGATGCCTATTTTGTATATTTCTTGTCTATTGAACTCATAACTAGTTAAAACATGTCATAATCACTTAGTTATAGGTGACTAATGCTTGAGATTACAAGAAAAGAGCAAGTAAGTGGTTTTGGAACGCAATTTCAACCAAAATGGCTCAAGTAAGGCCATTTTGGCTACTAGGATGCCTATTTTCTATATTTCTTGTCTATTGAACTTATAACTAGTTAAAACATGTCATAATCACTTAGTTATAGGTGACTAATGCTTGAGATTACAAGAAAAGAGCAAGTAAGTGGTTTTGGAACGCAATTTCAACCAAAATGGCTCAAGTAAGGCCATTTTGGCTTTTAGGATGCCTATTTTCTATATTTCTTGTCTATTGAACTCATAACTAGTTAAAACATGTCATAATCACTTAGTTATAGGTGACTAATGCTTGAGATTACAAGAAAAGAGCAAGTAAGTGGTTTTGGAACGCAATTTCAACCAAAATGGCTCAAGTAAGGCCATTTTGGCTACTAGGATGCCTATTTTCTATATTTCTTGTCTATTGAACTCATAAATAGTTAAAAAATGTCATAATTACTTAGTTATAGGTGACTAATGCTTGAGATTACAAGAAAAGAGCAAGTAAGTGGTTTTGGAACGCAATTTCAACCAAAATGGCTCAAGTAAGGCCATTTTGGCTTTTAGGATGCCTATTTTCTATATTTCTTGTTTATTGAACTCATAACTAGTTAAAAAATATCATAATCACTTAGTTATAGGTGACTAATGCTTGAGATTACAAGAAAATAGCAAGTTAGTGATCTTGGAACGCAATTTCAACCAAAATGGCTCAAGTAGGGCCATTTTGGCTTTTAGGATGCCTATTTTGTATATTTCTTGTCTATTGAACTCATAACTAGTTAAAACATGTCATAATCACTTAGTTATAGGTGACTAATTCCTGAGATTACAAGAAAATAGCAAGTAAGTGGTTTTGGAACACAATTTCAACCAAAATGGCTCAAGTAAGGCCATTTTGGCTTTTAAGATGCCTATTTTATATATTTCTTGTCTATTGAACTCATAACTAGTTAAAACATTTCATAATAACTTAGTTATAGGTGACTAATGCTTGAGATTACAAGAAAATAGCAAGTAAGTGGTCTTGGAACGCAATTTCAACCAAAATGGCATACCTCTTCAAGCTGACGTGTGTCTGTACAATGACTCATCACTATGTCATACATTAATCTCATCACGGATAGGCCACAGTCAACGCCGTTTTCCTGTTGTGCGCACTAGCATGAGGAACAAAGAACATGAATCAAAATGCATAGCAAATAAGCAACATCTTAAGTATTGTAAGGTAAGAAAATCACAACATCATGGGTGAATTACCTTGGGTGCTTTCCATGTAGGACCTCGAGGAGATCGAGGATTTATCTTCTTCATGGTACTACAAAAAATCAAAGTAATAAGTTCAAATTTGACTAGTATAATCAATACATATGAGTTAAGATATGAAAATCAATAACAAGAATTGAAAAAACTAGATACTTACTTTTGCAGTATGGACCTCACAAGGCGCTTTCTTACTTGAGGTAACCAAGCAGAATCAAAGTAGAAGATTGTGTTACTGGAAACACAAATCACAAGTAGGGTCAATTGATAACTACACACGAGACAAACAAATCAATAGTTAGCCTACTACAACAAATAAACTAGGAAAACAAATGAACTTGACTAGCATAATCAGACGTACTCCTCATAATATGGGATGAATATAAACTTGTCTCCCGCACTCACTGATTTCCTGATACCCCGTTCAGCATAGTACAACACGTCAGCGGAGTTGCCTAAGATTCTAGCAGTGGACATCTGCTCAGGGCATAACCACCCAACTTGACAAGGAGATTCAAGCTCCCATATTTGCTCCTGGAGTGCTCTGCATGAATGATAACAAAATGTTAATCGAAAACCAAACGACAAACACCACTAAACTGAATAACATAAATTGAGTACCAGTTGAATTACCTCATGGATATTTGAATGAGGGAAATGTTAAGCATTGCACTACTTAGAAATTCCTTCACATCTTCTTTGAATAGCCATGCCGTTGCATCATCATCGTAGTGGAACATTTCCTTAGGAAGTTGAATTCAGATGGGGCTGTCATTAGGAAACACGCAAACACGGTTGTGCAAATAAGCTAACTCCTGAGATAGCGATTGAAGCACCGTGTCTTCAACTAATGGAGTAGCTTGCGTAGCTGAACCTCGTGAAGGGCTCTTCATCGACGCTTTTCCACTCACCGAGCCATGTTCACTCCTCTTCTTTGGCCCCTCCACCCTCTTCTTTGGAGTTTGGCTTTTCCTCGATGGCTAATAAGACAAATCACACAAATGGTTAGAAAAGATTTCCATCCAACTCTTGGGAAGAAAA